GGAGAGAAAGATCAAGCTTGCTGAGAGGGACTCAACGGCTGCTTTTGTTGCGAAACTACTGTATTCCCCAAGAAGAAATTGTTCCATAACAAATGCTTTAAAAAATACACACAGATTTCTTTTCCCTTTATACTGTAAAATTAACAGGATATCAAACTGGCTAGAGATGGGTTCACTGGATTGATTTTAGAACTACCAGTATTGCCGTGTTTTCTGTACGATGCAAAAATAAATAAAAGGCTTGCCAATCCAAAAAAAGCAAAGGGTAGGCAGACCCTCGCCTCCCTCATTTACTAATGCTTTTATTGGTAGTGATTATGAACAGTGTGCAAACATTGCTACAGGTACAACAGCTCCGAAGCTCCAGAGCAGACATAATGCTAAAAGTTACCACAGAATATGGGTAAGCGGACTTTGGGAAATTACAGTAGTCACATTTACAATACCTGCTCTGGTGTCAGAAGTACAGTACATTTGCTACTGCAATGAAGCATATATCACGGAAGAGCAGTTCATTCCCGTCCTGTAATTAAATTCTAATCAACTCAATTGCCTTGAATAGAAAAATCAGAATCAAATACAGTATTCCCTCAACATTAAAAACAAACACCCTTACAGGCACATATGCTTGTGTGCGTGTACCCCTCTTTTCAACTCCAGCTTGCACAGATGTATGCGCAAACAATCCCTCATCATTCTAATAGGAAGTATTTTGGGGGTATCCAAAGACTTCCTTCTCCATGATGGCTTTTCTAACTCCTCCCCTTCTGGAGCATCCATCATGTCATGATGTGCTGTCAAGTCAATTCTGAATTATGGCAATCCTTTTCAGGGTCTTCTAGGTGGAGAATACAGCACTCAGAAGTGGTTTATCATTCCCTTCTGGGGACATCCTGGGACTGCAACTTGTACAAGGCCACACAGGCTGGTCTTCTGGGGACATCCTGGGACTGTGCAACGTGTAGAAGGCCACACAGGCTGGCTGTACTTGCAGGAGACACAGGTGGGAATTAAACTCAGATACGTAAACCTTTGAGCTATCCAGATAGCTCAGAGCTTCCTTACCAGTTTTACAGTATGCTGCACTATTCAGAGACACAGGTGGGAATTAAACTCAGATACTTAAACCTTTGAGCTATCCAAATAGCTCAGAGCTTCCTTACCAGTTTTATGTGTTCATATGCTGCACTATTCTGGTACACAGCACAATGGGCACATGTATAGAGTTGTGCTGTGTACTAGCATAGTGCAGGACACTAGCACACAGAAAGCTAATTGCCACCGGCTAGCTACTCTGTTGCTGCTATCTCTTCTTCCTTTCGCTGGGAAATAGAGTTCCTTGAGATGGGCTTCCTCCATGACAGGATGCAGGGAGCTTTCTCTTTCCTAGCAGGTGGTAGGCACCTCTCTCTATGCAGCCTCATTTATCATTCTTGCTGCTGTTTTCTTCTCATGCTGCTAAACTCTCTCTCTCTCTCTCTCTCTCTCTCTCTCTCTCTCTCTCTCTCTCTCTGTGTGTGTGTGTGTGTGTGTGTGTGTTTGAGTGAGTGAGTGAGTGAGAGTGAGTACCCTTGGCTGAGTCCTTGGGATGGAAAAAGACCCATCTCAAGGCTTGTTTGTAGGCTGCTTCACTCCCAGCAGAAGGAAAAAGAGGAGGAGGAGGAGGAGATGATAGAGATAGCACAGCATTTGATTTCTGACAGAAGAGATATAGACATACTTTATATAGAAAAGGGAGCTTCTAGTGTATTCCTATTGTTGTAGGGCTCCTTGTTTATGTTCATCTGTTGACTTTGAAATGGCTCTTTGGGCCACCTTATTCATGCTACCTGAGAGCAGACTTATTCACCACTGTCAGTAGGTGCAGCACGAAATGCATTCCATCTCCCTGGTTTGTATGATGCCATATCCATCAGCAGATCCAGCAGTAAATGGCCAGAGCAAAGAAGAACCTTGGTCATGACTCCCATGTTGATGGGAACACTGCAAGAATGTTATAGTAAGGTTGCAGATGGACACAGCTGAACAGATGCATTCTTGGAATTATAGTCCAAACAGTAGTGTTTGAAGCTCCTGGCTTTGTCATAGACCTGTGCTTCCTTCCCCTTTTGTTCAGTCTGTTACCTGTGGCATTTGTCTTAAGCTAAAGGGAAGGGAAGGTTTTGACCCATTTTGAGTATATCTCAACTGATTTGTTGTCACTATCTTTGGGGGTGGGGTTTGTTGTTATATGAGATTAGTTTATGTTCATGATTCTTTACTTGTTATTCTGTTATTGTTATTTTTACCTTTTGCTATATTTTGTGTAGCCATGGTCTGTTAACTTCACGGGGTGCGTAGGGTTTAGGGTGAAAGCTGACAAGCAGATCGATAACCCTGCACCATGCAAAAATCGTAAGATTTATATTCCCATCTGCCCTCAAGGAGACACTCATTAGGCCCATTAGGAAGAAACCTAGTTTGGCGGCGGATGAAATTGGCAATTATAGACCCGTCGCCAACGTTTCTTTCCTAAGCAAGGTGGTCGAGAGGGTGGTGGCCGATCAGCTTCAAGCGCTCCTGGATGAAACGGATGCCCTGGATCCATTTCAGTCGGGCTTCAGGCCGCGCCATGGTACAGAAACGCCATTGGTCGCCCTGTGCAATCACCTACTGAGGGAGGCCGACAAGGGCAAAGTGTCTCTGTTGGTTCTCCTAGACATCTCAGCGGCCTTTGATACCATTGACCACGGTATCCTCCTGGGGAGGCTCTCTGAGTTGGGAATAGGTGGCCTGGCATTGGCCTGGCTCCGTTCCTTCTTGGAGGACCGCCCCCAGAGAGTGCAGCTTGGGGAGAGAGTCTCGGCCCCGTGGAGCCTCAATTGTGGGGTTCCACAGGGGTCAATTATCTCCCCAATGCTATTTAACATCTACATGAGGCCGCTGGGTGGGG